CCTCTGCTGAAAAATTCCTGGATCCGCCGCTGCATATGAGAAATTGTCTGTAGCGTCTAGTATGCTTTGCAAATCGAAAAAGGGTAAATCTATACCTTTCTCATCTTCTTCCTTGAACTCACCTGTGTCTATCAACTCTTGGACTCGCCTTTCACTATCAAGTTGTGCTCGATTTATTTTATCTAAGACATGAAATTGAAGAATATTATTCTCATGCTGTCATTCAATAGGACCAATCCTGCAGATGTTCATGCATAGAGTGCATATAGTAAAGTAGTTACCTTGTCTCTTGGTTATCTTTCTTCTCCATATATAAACAGAAATGATGCTTGCAAGAAAAATTCCGCTCGTAACAACTGCCACAACTATCAGTATCAGAGACACTGGCACTTTGCTTCTTGGTTGTTCTTCTATTTGCGGTTTTGGTGTTTGTTGAAGATTACCTTCTATAAGAAAGCAAGAGGAAATTCTACATGTGAATTATCATCATGTAATTAGATTATTGAAGTGAACAATCTAAAATGATATGATGCATTTATAATGAGCCAATTAAATGATTGGATTTATCAGTCAAATTTTACTTAGTTTCAGTTATTTCTATGATTTTTACTCAGACGGACAAGCATTGGTCTCAACATAAATTGATTTGCAGTAACAGGTTCATGCATCAGCGCAATTTTATGCCTAGCCTAACATGGCGTTCTCACCTTGAGTACAATTTAAGTCAAAGCCACTCCATTGATAATTGGCATTGCAAAGGCATCTTTTCTTTCTATCTCTTGCTGGACTGCAAGTTGAATGTGGCCAACCCCTGCAGTCTGCAGATGTTGTACAGGTTGGTTCCAGAGGCAGCTCCCAACCTAACTCTACTGCATTAGTACCTCCGGATGAAAGTTGAGAACTAAAATTTCCCGGGTTAACATAGCACCATCTGGTCACACTGAATGGAAATCGAGGGTTCAGCTGCTGACTTTGGATTCTGTTTAGATCACAATAATCCACACTTTTTGTTTGGATGGCGAATCTTTGTGCGCTTTGGTTGACACTAATAACTCTAAAGAAGGTGCCATTCGGTCCCACGAAGCTAACCTGGCCTGTGATGGTGCTGCAGTTGAAACGGAAGTACATGGGGTCACCGCAATCCGGTCCAGTGCTCAGTGGATAAGGAATGATGGTTGTGCCACAAGGCTTGCAGTCTCTTCCGGTTGATTCTGCACAAGATGTAATTTCTTGACTGTCATAAACGAACTAATAAATTAGCATTAACCTCATGCTTCTGCAATCATGCTCACATGTAAAAGCTTAACATAGAATGTTTCTAGTATATAACACCGTTTAGTTGTGTATGTGTGTAGAGTTTGTTACTCCTACGCACGTATGACATCCCTCAACATTATTGATTGTAGTTAATTTCATCCTAACTGAGGTGCTTTAAACTCTCACTCTCGTACATCTATTTTCAACTATAAAGTAGTTTGGTGAAGCAAACCAAGAACTGCATATATTCCATCATAATCCCAAATTAAACAGAGAAATGTAATACCTAAACCAGACAAGTCAACTCGAGTAGAGAGGTTGTGGCCATCAAATCCATACTCTTCTTCAAGATTATTTAGATCCCTTGTCCATGTCCAGCACGAGGAAGTAGGAGTATCCCTGATAGTTCTGTTTACACCTGCAATATATGAGAAAGCCAGGCACCCGCAGCTATTTGAGCACGCTTTCCTGCATTGTGTTTCATTTTCAGAAGTGAATTGTACGTCTGGTTTTCCCACTTTCATCATCTTCAAGCTCAAGAAAGTGTCATTGCTACATATTTTCGACTCCCTTGCACATCCACCTGAAAAGTCTCTAGCATCCCATTGCTCTGCAAACTGAGGTTTAAAACCTGGCAAACATTTGCACACCGACGGCCAATTATTACTGTTACAGCTGCCAAAGTTCCCACAAGCATTAAACACACTGCATCCATCTTTTGGCTCCTTCCATAACAAATTCCACTGCTTTGTGTGTTTAATCCAGGTCAGAAACTGTACCTCCCCATTAAAACTCATCACCATTCTTGTATAATTGTAGCCCAATCTTGTCATGGTTGTTGAATTATTAAATATACTTGGAATTTTAGATCTGGCAGTACTCTTGCTGAAATTTGATAATAGATTATAGAGTGGAGGAAACATTCCGGCTGAGCTAGAAAATTTATTACCTGACACTCCACTTTTCCAGTAAGGAATCGAATTTTTTAAGGTAACAAACTGGTCTCCTTCTTGATCTAGTTTGAAGGTGAAGTCCCCGATTCCTGGGTTGAATTGGTCTCTCCATGAAGTCAATTGTAAGCTTTGATCCATCACCATCCCAGGAATGAATGTATCAGTTGGATTTTGAAAGCTCTGCCACAAAATATTATTCACTGCCAATGGATCATCATCACCATCCCTTAACACCACCAGATTCCCAGAATCCATAAGCCTCACCGCCAAATTTAAAGATGTGGATGTTTCATGGCCTGTTGACCAATAAGACTTTCGACTAGAGTTATCCAAAACTTGGAGCTTACCATCTTTGATTGCAAAAACTCCAGTACTCGTTGAACTGACAGCAACTGGTTGGTCTTCTCTGTTGGCAACCCAAACAACTGTCCATGGACTCATATCGTAATACCAAATGCCAACATATCTTCTATCAAGGCCAGAGCTTTGCGCTGATGAAGGTGTAAAAAATCCCAGTTCAAATTTTCCTCCAGCTGAAACAAGAGTTTCTGATCGAACCCCATCTGTAATTGGAGTGTCATATGTGAGTGTGTCCCTAGCAGAAGAAAACGGGTGCGCAGAGCATAACAAGAGTAACAATGTAAACCATGTAATGGTGCAATTTGTTCTTGTAATCCTTCTTCTTCTTCTGCAGGCCATCATGAAAGTTTACTGGTTCAAAAATGGCCTCGTTTCTTCAAGTGCATTATCATTTTGCAAATAGATAAAAAAAAATTTAAGACAGCTAGTTCGGTCCAATAAGCCATTTTCCTAGTTCCAATATATCAACAGGGAACTAAACTAATTATACCAAGTATCATTACCTGAAATTAAATACAGTTTACTGGTCGGTAGAGCCACCCTGCAATCACTAAATGGTTGATGCTTTTGCTTTATCAGCCGAGCTGAATGATTGAAAAGTAGCTGGCATAATGTTAGGGCCAAAGTCGTCTGATTTATTTATTTAGGGTTAATAGTTTTATTAGTCCCCCAACTTGGACCGAATTTGCATTTGAGTACCTCAATTTACAAAATGGTACTTATGGTCCTTTAACTTTAGTTTCGTTTGGACAACTAGTCCCGCCGTTACTTCTGTCAATTTTTTCATTAAATTTAAGGGTAAATGGGTCTTTTCAGTTGGTTTTATTATCCTCCTTGGGTTAATCGTTTTATTAGTCCCCCAACTTGGACTGAATTTGCATTTGAGTACCTCAATTTCCAAAATGGTACCTATAGTCCTTTAACTTTAGTTTCGTTTGGACAACTAGTCTCACTGTTACTTCTGTTAATTTTTTCATTAAATTTAAGGGGAGATTGGTCTTTTCAATTGGTTTTATTATCCACCTTCTGCAACTTGCCTTCCCTCTGAAATAGACCTTGGTGGTATACTAATCCACCCTGCCTTAAATATCTAAAGCAATTTCTTCCCTTGGCTTGGTCCCACAATCCCCTTACCACCCTCAAGCTCATCTTCAGCGTCGACTCTATCCGTTTTTGTGACACAAATTTCGACACGGCATTACTCTGGCTCCACCAGAACCACCCCAAGACTTCGTTCAATACCTTTCTTGGATCCACTACGACAATGGATGATCGGGTTATATCCATGGCTGTGTTTCTTGGTGTGGTTCATGAGTCCCCTCAAGTACTCACCGGCATTGACGCCTTTCCTGGCCAAGCTACCAACGTCGTCCGCCACTCCGATGGTCTGGGCATCATGGCAGATGAAGTGGGCGTCTTTGCCCAAGGGTTTTCTTGGTTTTCTCAGAAAATCTAAAAGAGTAAAAGTCTTTTTTATCTCTTAAAACCAACCTGAAAAGACCCATCTACCCTTAAATTTAACAAAAAAAATTGACAGAAGTAACGGTGGGACTAGTTGTCTAAAGGAAACTAAAGTTAAAGGACCACAAGTACCATTTTGGAAATTGAGATACTCAAATGCAAATCTTGTCCAAGTTGGGGGACTAATAAAACGATTAACCCAAATCTAAAAGAGTAAAAGTCTTTTTTGTCCCTTAAAACCAACTTGAAAAGACCTATCTACCCTTAAATTTAACGAAAAAATTGACAGAAGTAACGGTGGGACTAGTTGTCCAAACGAAACTAAAGTTAAAGGACCACATGTACCATTTTGGAAATTGAGGTACTTAAATGCAAATCCGGTCCAAGTTGAGGGACTAATAAAACGATTTACCCATTTATTTATTACTTGGACAAAGATTTCTTTGTTTTATTATTACTGCTTGTAAATTACTTGTCACTCTCACCACCTAAAAACCTAAAAATGAGGACCGTCATTAACCATATAATACAAGTCCACCCGATCCAATCCAAAAAAAAACCTAGACCCCAAAAAACAAAAACAAAACAAAAAATATTCCAAGGTGATTTTCATTATATGCTACTCATATTGTGTTACCAAGTAGCATTGCAAAGAGGTCAAATCTTTGTGACCGACATTAGAGTTGAGAGGGCTTTTACAATTACCACGTTTGGCCGCGTAGACTCATCACAAAGAAAAAGTTACAGTTTTAGTATAAATGAAAATATGAGACATGAAAAGTCAAAAGTTTACTTAAGGAGGACAAAAGGACTAATTACAGCCTCATAGGGCTCGTCAATGGGCCAGGCTGGGTTTTTTTAGAAAATTCAAAGCCAAAGCCCAAGTCCAACCTATGGGCTGGGCTTGAGAAAGCTCATCGGGCCGGACCGGGCTAAGCCCAATGGGCCAGGGTGAAACGGGCCTACTTCATTCGAAAAAAACCATAAACTTAATCATAAGGGCATTTTAGTCCAAATTTGAGATTAAACTCACTTAATTCCAATATTTTCACATCAAACCAAATTCATAAAACACTCAAAGTCACACAACAAGATTTTCCACCAAAAAAATAAAACCAAAGTATTATTTTTTAGGTTATTACATAATTAGACCATAATACGTTTTAAAAAATAATAAGTATCAAAAAATATTTTTTTTAAAGGATGGTATGAATAAATATGCAAATGTTTGGTGATGTGTTCAAAAAAAAAGCATGATTATATTTGGTGGTACGATTATGTTTCGTGATATGATTATATTAGGTGATATGATATGTTGTTCATCTTATTTTATATATATATATATATATATATAATTGTTGTATTAATAATTGATACAAATTAATGTGCTAATCATCCAATTATAAACTAGGAATGAGTAAAGAAAAGTAAATGAAATGAAACAAAACATATATGTGATTTAAGTGATATAATCCTAATTCTAAACTCTTATTTATACATAATTATATATGTATACGGACCTAACGGGCCGGGCTTTCTTAGGCTTAACTGAGCCGGGCTTCAGACACCCAAGCCCAAGCCTAGCCCAGCCCAAGACGGGCCGAGCCATCTCAAAGCTCATAACGACCCGGGCCGGACTTTTTTTTAATGGGCCGGACGGGCCCCCATTGGCCCATGAGCCCGCAGGCCAAATGATGAGGCCTACAGCCTCACCAATGCTTTAATTATCTACCTTCTTCTAGACTTGTAGTTGTTTCGGCAATTGTTTCTGGCTTAGTAGAAGAAGAAGCTGTGCTGGAGTTGTTGCCTCTCCTTAAGGAAAGGCTGGTTGTTTAGGAGTTGGAGAGATTGCAATTTCACTGTCAAGCATGGTAAGAACATTTGACATGGCGGGACGGTCAACAGGGTCTTCTTGCACGCATAAGAGCCCAACATTGACACACTTAATAAGTTGACTTTTGTTGCAACTTTCATCTAAAGCCTTGTCCATTAGTTCCTAAGCATTGTTTGTGTTATTATTTGAAAGGTTTTTAAAATTTAACGTTTTGATTTTGTTTTAATATTTTGGCTGTTTTCTTTTATTTATTATGGAAGTTAAGTTCCCACAAGCATTAAACACACTACATTGATCTTTTGGCTCCGACCATAACTGCTTCCACTGCTTATGTTCAAGCCAGGACAGAAAAGCACCTCCTCAGTAAAACTCATCACCATTCTTGTATAATTGTATTCCAATCTTGTCATAGTTATTGAAAAATTATAAAACTTAATTGGACTTGTAGGTCTGGCAGTACTCTTGCTGAAATTTGATAACAAATTAGCTATAGAATGAGGCATTTCAGCTGAGGTGGAAAACTCACCAGGCTCTCCACTTTTCCAATAAGGAATTAATTTTCTTGAAATAACAGACTAATTGACTCCTTCGTGATCTAGCTTAAAGGTGAATTTCCCAATTCCTGGGTCATCTTGGTCTCTCCATGAAGTCAATTCTAAGCTTTTATCCATCACCATCCCAGGAATGTATGCATCAGTTGGATCGATGTTGAAAGCTCAAGCACAAAATATTTTGCACTTAAAACTTATCATCTTCACCATTGAACTAGAGGTTTCAAATGGATCGGGCTGGCCCGATATGGCACGAGCACAGTCTGGTTAAGTAAGGCCTGACACGGCATGGCCAATATATTTGAGTCGTGCCCAAACAAGGAAATTATGACCAATGGGCTAGGCCGGCCCTTTAAAGCCCATTTATTAAATTACATTTGTGTTAGAGAAAAATAATGCATAATATTATTACATTTATATCTTAAATTCAAGTCTATTTCTTTTCTCTAATAATATGATTAAAATTTAATGTTTTCTTTATATATAAAATAATGATTTTATTTTTCAAGTTTTGATTTCTAAAATTCATACAATAATCTACTCATTTTTTATTTAAATGTACTTTAAAGAAAGTTAATGGCCACTTTTTTTAACAAATAATAAATCTTGTTAGTATAATTGTAAAAAATATTTAAATGAAGTTGTAAAAAAAAATTACAAAAAAAAAAAATGCAATACATAAGTCAAATTTGGCATTGGGCCATCTCGGCTCGTTTAGTGGCCCGACACAAGCACGGCTTGAGCCCATATGGGCTCAGGCTGGAATTGATGATTTTCATAAATGAACGAGCCTGGCACGAGCTGTTTATTAAATGGGGCGACTCTAAATGGATCGGTCATACCCAACACGGCCTCTTTGACACCTCTAGAAACTACACATGATAATTGCATATGAAGGAAGTATTTAGCTTAACCCACGTGGGTATATGAAGAAAGGTTAGAAAATCAGTGACCAAGAATTTAAAGAAGAGGAAGATAGAAATCTTTAACAAGAAACTTCCCACATAACTAGAGGTGTCAAATCAGACGTGCTCGGCCCGTTTAGAGTCGGCCCATTTAATAAACGGGCCATGTCGGGTCCATTCATTTATGAAAATCATCAATCCCGTCCCAAGACCATGACTCGACCTCATATGATGGGTCTTGCTCGTGTCGGGCTACTAAATAGACTGAGATGGGCCCAAGCTAAATTTGACTTATGTATTGCTTTTTTTCTTCTTCTTTTTTTTTTGTAATTTTTTTTACAACTTTGTTTAAATTTTTTTTACAATTATACTAACAAAATTTATTATATGTTGAAAAAAGTAGTCATTAACTTTCTTTAAAATACATTTAAGTAGAAAAATGACTAGATTATTGTTGGATTTTTAAAATTAAAACTTGAAAAACAAAATCATTATTTTATATATAAAGAAAACATTAAATTTTAATGTATATTATTAAAGAAAAGAAACAGTCTTGAATTTAAGATATAAATGTAATAATAAATGGACTTTAAACGGGCAAGCCCGTTTGGTTTCGAGCCTGCACACTACATCTGTCTCTTGACTCCGACCATAACGGCTTCCACTGT